TTTTTTTTTCTCGAGAAAATAAAATAAGTGTCTAAAAATAAAGTACCGAAATAAAATACCGAAAATAAAATAAAGTATGAAAACAAATGTCTGATTCGATATTGATCCGCAGTTTCCCATGAAACCGATCTGTATGTTAATTTTGTATTCATTGTAGAAGATATTAAATTTAAAAACATATATATATCATATTAATTAATTCGCTTTCTTTAGCAATTATAACAATGCAATTATTTTTTAAAAAAAAGTGAAATAAAATAAAACTCGCAAAAAAAAGAAAAGATTAGATTATAATGCTTATTAATAACCTTCGAATTTCTTTATTTAACAAACGCTAAATAATTGATATTGATATTACAAATTTATATAACTTTTTTAAAAAAGTAAAAGTTCTCAAAGAAAAAAGAATTTTTTTTACTAAATAGTTAACGTGAAAAAAAAATGTTTACCTTTTAATTTAAAAGTAATAAATTGAATGTTTCTCTTTTCAAAATAAAAGTTATTTAAATAAAGTTATTCAATATTTTAATTAGTAAAACTGTTATCTGAATTATTGAGAGAGAATTTCAGATTCGTAAAGATGATTTCCGTATTTAGAAATTTTAAATTTTATTTTATAACAGATAATTCATTCTTATTCTTGCCGTTTCTACGTTTCTACTTGAAAGGAATCTGTTCTGTCCTTAAGAGATTTTATAATATTTTTTTTCGTGCTTATTTATGTATACAGTATGTTGTATTTATACATATATTGTAAGATACGAATTTGTTTGGTCAGTCCACTCAGTCCACTTGGCAACCATTTCTACTGAAGAAAACTTTCAGTAAATTCTTTTATATGGGGAATTACTAAGAGATGTGAGCACTATTTAGTATCGGATACATCAAAGTGCTTTTTGTTTGTGATGAGACCGAGATTTCTCGATTAGCAGATCTCCTCGTGATTTACGTGATGAGGATGTGTGCTAGAGATTTTCTGCTGATATGTGTGACGTCCTAAAAAATAAAAAAATTGGACGAATTTTTTCCAGGACATTAACTAAGACGGAAAAAGGATAGCTTGTTAGTAATTTTAGATGGGGATCTGATTATCCATCCTAGCGTCCTAAAAAAAATTCAAGATTCCGTTACCTTTCCAATTTTTACACAGTACATGTATATTGTATAACAATCATAGTTTATTTCTTTCAATGCACGGTCACGCCTGAGAAAAATTTAACGTAAAATCTAAAGTATCGATCTTGAGACTAGAAAAACAGTGTAGAAACTTCGTTATAAAGTTTAAACAAAAAAAGAAAGTCAATTCATATTATCTACAGTATATCAATTGACGAAGATCATTATTCTTTTTATTATATTAGAAATAGATTATATGGCGGAACATCTCATCACCTGATGAAGATGAACCTGAAATTATTCATTTATTCCATGATAAGATCTAAGATGAAATCATTAATAATAATAATAAGTAGTTACAACATACTCGCGCGAAATAACTAAATAAATAAATGTATTAACATACCTCTTCATTATTACATAATCACGTGTAGGTTTAAACGTGATGCGGTTCAGCGTTGATCTGTGATTATTTCATAACATAATATTCGAAGACAAATGAATATGAGATACTCTAAGTTAACCAAAACCAATGATCCTTCTACAAAGAATGATTTTCTGAATCTCCTATCCACATATTCGATAGCTGATTGTATTGCGACGTTAAGAGCTGGTGCTCAAATTATAATCTGTCCCCTGATATTAAAATTAAAGCCACCTTGCGACGAGATAACGTCTCCATTTTGATAAGTTTCGATGTTCCAGTTAGCTAACCGTCTTACGATTTCTAATACAACCTTTTCTTCAGCGTATGAAATTTAAGGTATCGGGTGAATTTTCCGTTAACATACCCGAAAAAGTTGGTTAATTTTCATTGATTTCTAAAGTGCGATTCTTTAGTTGGCCGTTTATGTACTCGAATTCTTTGATGAACTTTCAAAAACTATTTTTTTTTACAAATAAAACAAACTTCGTACATGTCCGCCGTGGTTGTAGGAATACAGTAATTATATATAACCCTTGTTTGATATTATTCCCAATAAAGAAAACCAGAACCAAACAGTTTATCACCAAAGGCAGGGAGTATCACTGGAATGTTGTATTTCACCTAACGCATTGTCTGGCTGCGACCTTACGTTACACAAATGATCAAGCCAATGATTTACCCCTGTTGAAGATATATGTAATCCCAGAGCTGCATACAGTACCCTGCAATAGTATCCCCTTTAAAGTAAGTAGTATGAGGGTACTTTCCCCCTCTCCTCACATAGTAGTAGTAATAGTACCCTCCGGGGTACTATTCAATCTAACCTAGATTCTTTGAATAAGACTCGAGTACTGTATATAGAAAAGGTCACATAGTCATTTCAGGTATCTTAATAATCACAACAGACTACAAATCCTTAAAATATTATGAGAAAACATTGATAAATAATTTAAAAAGAGAAGCATTGATTAAAATTTTAAGTAAGGAAATGGTAGGAACATTTTATTATAACATCAGCTTTTCGCATGATTTTGTATACTTTTTTATGCATCACTAGATTTTGCTGATATTGAAAATTTTATAATATGTGAAATTCATTTTACGAAGTTGAATTTATTCTTCGAGAGAAATTCGGCCCTAGAATTACGACCCCATTTTAGCAAAGTTATACTGTACTACAGAAATAATTTAACAGGTCAGAAAATTAAACCGATTTAACTTTTTATCTTAACTTCTTTATCTGCTTATCCGAAATATTAATTTCAGGAGTAGTAGGTTGTGTGAGTATACCACTGTCACTTAAATTCATGATCTTCTATTTAATCCATGATCGTGCGACACACGAAGGGGTTTTTTTTAATTAAAGACTTACTTTATTTGGTTAAATCATGATTTACCGGCCAAGTATACTGTATACAGTATCTGGTATACCGAAGGACATAAAATTATCCCGAAGACACATAACCTAAAAAGTAATCTTCCGACAAGACATTTCATCGAAAGTTGATTTAATGGAAAATGATTTTACCGAAATTATTACAAAGATAAACTAACGAAAAATTTGATTGATATACCAATAAAATTTTTACTTTCCCAATTTAATTTCTCTGTTTTAACTTTTTTAGTCGAATTCATATTAAAATCAAATCAATTCTTTATGAAATTTTACGGATAAAAAAATTTCATGAAATAATATAAAAGAAATTTGTTTAAAAAAGTCAACAAAAAAAGTTTAAATCATTTTGACTAAATTTGACTAAATTGATAAAAAGATTAAGTGAATGCATGAATTTAGTTATGTTTGGACTTTGGAGTATTTAAATAATGATTCAAATAATCAAGTATTATTAATTAGGTTATTAGGATTTGTATTTAATCTACGACAAAAATAATGGTCCACTAGATTCAACATTTTCCTAATAGCCTGATTAATAATAATACATTATTTATAGTTAATTGCAAACCATTATTTATATCATATCATATTTCAATTTTTTTCAATTTATAATAAAAAAATTTTATTATCAGTCATTATTTGGCCGAAGTTATAAGGAAAATGGGAATCAATCCAATGATATAATAATATTAAATTATGTTAATCATTATGAAACGTGAGTATATTAAATATGTTCCATTTGAAATATGTCCGGACGTTTTAACTTTTAAGTTTTAACCCAAATTAATCTTAAATCTTAATCTGAGTCAATATCTACACTCATAAATTGTCTCATACTAATCGAATTGACCAATAATAATAAATCCATTTTCTAATGTAAAATTAGTAATCATCAAAATCGTCAAAACGCAAAATCTCGATCGAACAATTAAATTATAGTATTGTTGTAGAATTTAATTGACTAAAAAAATAAAAAAAATGCGATTGAAAAGATCAATCATCGATTACGTTATGTATTAATCAAAGTTGATTGGATATATATCACGTGATTGTAGACCCATTCAATCGTAAATCGGTTATTTAATAAAATGAGAATTTTTTTTTTGATTATAATATTCCATATCTGATATGATTATATTGGTATCCGATCAAAATCTCGACAGCCACTTGCACGACTAACACAAGATCGACAACAAAATCTCGACAATCCAAAATCCTGACAAGTCATTATATCGACAATTTTGTGATGTGTTCTAATAAAATAATTTGTTGCAATGTGTAATATTTAGTTTAAATGTAATTTTGTCGGGATTTTGACTTGTCAGGATTTTGACTTGTCAAGATATTGGATTGTCGAGATTTTGTTGTCGGTCTTGTGTCAGTCGCTCAAATGATTTTCGAGATTTCGATTATATTAATGAATAGTTAATAAAAAAAAAACAAATAAGCGAAAAATAAAATAACCGTGAACTCAACAGTTATACAGTTTTAAAAAAATCATTATCTTGACTTCAAATTATCATCTCTAACGCGTTTAATTCATTCAGTAAATGAAAAAAAAGTGCAATTCCATTACAATAGATGGAAACTATTGCTATTTTATAGTTCTTATTGTTCCTATATATTTTAATAAATAACTATGTATAATAAAATTCAGTAAATTTATAAATATTTTCAATCAATTATTTTATTTACAATGTACAAAGGTAATAAACAATTGGAACGTGAATTGTTCCGATAATTTTTTCTTTAAAAAAACATTCAAAACGTTAAACTAAAATTTATTATAAGTTAAAAGCAAATTACCAAAAAACCTTGCTATATACCAATCCTTACTGTAAAGTAAAAGCTGAATCCAAAAGGAGAGAATGGAATCTAAAAATATATAATTTATAATAAAATAGGTTAGAAGACTCGAGTACTCTAAGTAAGCTTACAGAAAAGACAAATTCAAGCCCCCATGCCTACTATCAACTGACGTTAACGTATATCGTGAGTGATCAAACTCGTGCAGAGGTACTGTCACATTGATAATAAGACATGAGACCCACCACCAAAGGGACGGGCCCCACATACAGAAGTCTGCGACATAGCTTGAGATATTATTTTTCTCATTGAAGGTAACCAGACTACTAGAAGAGGAGGATAACCAAAGCACTCTAGGTGCACTAGTCCCTTATACATCCCAGCTTAGTCATTTCCACTTACCAGAATAATAGAAAATATCATTTTTGTTTTTAGAAAAAAGAAAGAAAAGCTACTCTATTCATAACTATTGTTTAAACAAACTTTTTAGTATAATTTTCCTTGTCTATTTACGTTAAGTTTTCTTGGAAAGAAAATAATGAATATTTTAAACGAAAATTAGGTATCAAAATTACGTTTGACTAGGAGTGACCGAAAAGAAGTGATAAAGGAATACTTAAATTATTAAAATTAATAAATAAAAAAGTACAAGCGCAAGTATAAAAGAAATTTTGTGTGGAAAAAATATTATTATTTATGGGAAAATTTGATGTGATCCAGTTGAGTCATTATTAGCAAAACTATAATAATCATAATAATCATGCATCGGAACCTCAAATCGTGATTATGATCAGGTAACTATTAACTATTTTAGCATGAGTCATTTTATTATTGTTGCATTATTGAATGATATCTATGTTTGTGTAATACATCAGATAATCAGATGAGGTTTATTTATAATCGCTCCGGACTACTTACAAGATTTATTAGCTTTTATACCGCTATACCACTCGTGATTACGAGATCTAATGTTATTAATTCAGTATATCAGATATACTAACCCTAATCTTAACACGCAAGTAACACGCTCAAAAGATTTGTACATATTAAAATTTCATTTAAAAAATATGCTTTTAAAATACAAATTTATCAATATCAAGATTTATTTATAAAATTAAAATTATATCATTTTGAGATCAATTAGGAATTAACCAAGGAAAGATTAATTGACCAAAAATTTATTTACCATTTCTCCTCATAAAAAAATTAACCTATATATCACTCGTTTAAAAGAAATATTTCAACAAACCTGAAATGAAATTCAGGATTCTTTTCTCCTAGTTAGAAGAAAAGAAGGGCCCGAGGGGTTAAACGAAGTCCTCAGAGATGAGGTTTTTAAGCAATCTTTTCGACGTTACTAAATTTACGTTTTAAAAATTTTGATCATAAAAGAAGAAGAAAATATATATATATATATATATATAATATATAAAATGTTAAAATAAAAAAACGTCAATTTACCTATTTATAGTAGCTCGCCGATGAAGAAAATAATAGTCTTCTACCTGCGGGTTAAGAATTCACATCCTAATATATACATTTTTATTAAAAAGAAAAAAAGAAAAATTTTAATAAAAAAAATAATGTAAAAGAGGAGAAATGGTAAATCGCAATTACTTGGTGCGAGAAAAAAACTAGTTTATATCTTTGAGTCAACATCTTATTGACGTTTCTGATTAATTGATAAATCTTGATTACTAAAATTAATTGTATCCATTATTTTTTTTGCAAAAGAATTTACATCATTGTACTACAATTATAATTTACGCTATGATTATGAGATTGATTTTGATCTACGAAATTTTTATCGTATAGTTTACTATGTAATCACTATCTTTACTCCACATTATAACATGATTATATATACATTTTTTTGCGTAAAATTACATTTTTAAAAATGGCAAACCTTCTTTTAACAAATTAAATAGTGTTATTGCCGCAGAGTCCAGTAATAAATGCTTAAATTGCTCATGACGAGAATTTGATGCTTCAAATCATGGAGCCGTCATTTTGATGACTTTTTGCAAGAAGGAAATGGACAACACGAACCATATTTAAAGAGTATGCACACTTGGACTTCACAAACTATACAATTATCAAGTCTATTGTAAGGAAAAATACATGCGGAATAATGATTTTCTAGATACAAAATACCTGTCCGCATCCTATCTTATTCATACTATTCCATCTTGCTTATTTTTATTAAAGATAATTTTTGTTTTATATCTGCCGTAAGGCAAGCACCAGACTACATTATTTTTCGTAACGCTTGAAAAATTCTCGACAATATGAAAGAACATATTCTCATTAATTATTTGTTTATTCATAGTTTTGCTTTACAAGACGAACAATGTCCTATACAAATTGATATGATCCAGTTTCATTTTACGTAGAATAAAGGTGCTCGTCATTTATACTTGAGACACACAATAACAGAAATAAATAAAAGAAATAAACATTAAAACGATTGAAGTTTTGAAAGTTTTTGTTCCGTAAAGCTAATAAATTCCTTGAAATTTTTAAACGAAAAGATAATTATTTGAGCAAGAGAAGTGCCAACAAAATATTGCAAAGAACTTTGCCATATATATATATATATATATATATATATTGGCATTAAATTTTTACTTGCTCAGTTATACTTCTGATTAACTTCTCACTAAATTTCCAAATCTTTATGAATTTTCCAAAATTGTATGAATTGATTATGTTTCCAGTGGAATAACACAGGGCATGATGGGACTGATGGGTCTTTGATAATATTCAATTTGATGTGTACTATACATATTCGGTCTGACACATTAATGTTAATTTTTTTTCTTTTTCTTTTGTTGTTGCTTTAAGTAATTGGATAAACCGTATCATACACCACTTCTCCAATGTCATGCTCAACTCGCTCATCTCCGTCATCTTCATCTATTGGTATCAGTTCATGTGTGTACTTTTTGACATAACAGAGATGAAAAGGAGAATTTAACAAGGCTTCTCTCCGAATATCATGCCATTCAACGGACAAATAGTATCTTTTCTAGCCAAAATTCTGATCTATCACATGAAAGCACGTGCCTAGCGTCATATAATTATAACCGTTAAGAGATTCTCTTCACAAACTGAATATTGACTCTTTAATAGTTCTAAGAGCTCGGATTCGTTGTTAGATATTTGTGAATGTAGGTCCGATCCTCCTCGAGATTGTAAGTTAGGAAGTGGGTGCAAGGTGTTTCTACATTCATTGCTTGAGTCCTCGGTAGGTTGCATTTCCAGGTCGCTAGATGCGGAAAATTTGTTCGTTCTGATATGTAAAAATAAAATTTTAATACGGTTTTCTTAAAATAAACAGCATAATATTTGAACTATACCTGTAGGGCGCTAGGTAAGTTGTTCCATAGACATTTTGCTGCTTCGCTCGTTTCAAGGTTCTCAAAATGATTCCACATCTAATATACAATTATGTACAAAAATTTCTCCAATATTATTAGAATTCTTTAACTGGATGTTTGGCTACAACATAATGTATATATAGGTTAATATGCATATATATATAACATCTATGACATCATATTTACATGCTTTTCGTCGTACGGTTAAGTGTGGGAAAATTTACGAAATGACATTTCACCTCATCATGATTTTTGACACTAATCTACGTAATCGAGGCTTCGGTTGATTTTTTTTGGGTGAAACATGTTCGTTAAGTCAACTCTGAAATGGAATTGGCACACCATATATAGTTTCTCATAAATTTACAGCTTATTGATTCCTTGCCAGGAGTTGCAATCCCGTATCTAAGAACTCTTTTTACGAAGAATAGAAAGGTTTTCTAAGATCTTGTAGATTATTCACTTTCTTCCTTCGCCGATTTTGCCTTTTCCATCTTGTATAGCCTCTTTAACCTGAACTTAAGAATTCTTTTTCATAGTAATACCGCTCTTCCTGATGAATTGCGCCACATTTAGCAATAGTTGTGCTAAAGAAAGCAATGATGAATTTTGGCAGGGTCCCCTGGCTGCAATTTCAATCATGTGATTCTGTTTTAAAGAATCTTTCATGACACTTGTATGATTATTTTGCAGGAGTTGGCTGGAATTTCGATCGCCTCATTGAAGACACCTCTCCTGACGGCACATCAACGGTTGATACTCCTAGTAAATCGTTCTGTAGCTATCCATCCACTGCCCAAAAAGCCTACGGCTAGCTCCGTATTATGGAAAATGGAGGTGTGATGATCTCTTGTGACGAATATTTTTATATGATCACGTGCAAGTGCTTTTTTTAGGCTAGAACGTTATGGCACGCCAGGACGAAAATGCGTTTATTTTTACGTTTATTAAATGCTTGTTTAAGCGCCTAAAGTGGATTTAAACGTTTATTTTCGTATTTAAACGTTTAAATTTTATTTTTTTAAATATTTTTAAGCATTTATATTAGATTTCCACATTTAAATATTGTTGCGGAAAAGGATTTTTTTAAAAATACTTTGTAAAAAAAGTTTATAAGCGTTTAATAGAAAATTGTAAAAAAAAATTATAACCGTTTAAATGTAAAAATAAACGTTTAAAACCGCACTTTAAGCACTTACACAAGCACGTTTGCCTAAGAACTGATCATCTGAATAACTAAATACAAACCAGTGAATCAGTCGAAAATAAAGTAAGTTATGCATGACAGCTTATTTTTTCTTTTTCTTTGATAAAGTGATCACCATTTCGTTACGCACTACATTTCATTATTGTGTTAATCCCTCTTACAAATCGCGATGGGTGTCATCAATGTCACTAGAAATTCTTTAATTATTCCGATGCACATATAAAACACCCCATACGTATATAGCATACATTGGTTAAAAAAATTCTCAAACACAGACTTCAGAATGTAATAACGCTTTATGTCAGCATTCAGCAGTTCATCTATTTAGTATTTACATTGTATATGTTGTTGCTTATATTATTTGTACTTTAACACATAAAATACAAATATAAAATACACATATTAAAAAAAACTAGAGGTCTATAAATGCAAATAGCTATTTGTCACAATTTTTGTCATCCGAAAATCATGCAAAGTTTGTTAATTGTTAGAACAACAAGGTAGACAGCATACTTGGGATACGACTGGAAAAAGATACGCCACTAGTGTTAAAGAGATTTAATATACGGCCTTCATTGCAAATAATTCTGCGTAACCATTTGAACTTTTGTGAAATTAAGATCATGTTTGAAAAGTACGATTTGAACACCACTATCCAATGATGGCCAATGAGGACACAATCCAACACCATCTTTGCACATAAAATTGATGATCTATGTTTCAGTTGCGGAAAGACTTTCTGCATAAATAAGTATACAGTCAAACCTCTATGTACTGATGAGGTTGTATTAGGGAAAAAGTATCGGTACATTGAATTATTGGTATTGTAAATCACGTCTATTATCAGATTAGCGGACAGTCAGACCTTGATACCGATGCTTCTAATATTAATACATTGAATATATTACGAGTAACATAATGCGGACAAACACCACCCGATTAATGGGCCAAAATAATTAAATTTCGGCAAAATAAACCGCAAAAGAGTTCAAATTAAATC